TTAATTAATTTAAAATAGAGAGAAAACAGAAAGTTTTGCTGCTTAAATTATATTTTTTTTTTTTATGTAGAGAGATTTTTTATAATATTCAAATATTTAAATAACGAATATTTTGTATATACATTCCCTACATATATAGAGATTTACAGAGTATTTTGAATTTTAAATATTATTCGTTTAGGTTATTAATATGTTAAAAGCCGACTAGAAATTTGTTGGTGTCTTAATGAAGTTAGCGGTTTTTTTTTATATACGATGATTAGTAGCTATATTAAATTTAAGTAACAAATTTTAAAACAAATAAATACATACTTGCTCTGTCCCGAACGGATTTGGTGAGCTTTTACGGAATTAGATCCAAAATTTCTTGAAACCCGGTCTACAACGACAATATTACAGCTGATATTTATATTACATTTTTTTGCTCTACAATATCAACATTATTTATTTCATATATAGCTAATAATTACATTCAAATTATTTTCCACACATCTTGCAACACGATTAATTATAATTATAAGTTTTCTTCCATTTTAACTACACTTCAAAACGTAAATTTAGATTTAAATGTGTTAAGAAGTTTATTTATATACTCAAATTTCCTTGTATTATAATCTAAAAAAATATTTTTAACATATATCAGTTCAAAAACATTTCTTAACAATTGTTATTGCTTATTAGATGTTTATGTTAAGCAATAATTTTCATAATAAACCTTTAAACTATGTATTTTTTTATTTTTTTTTTAAATTTAAAATTGTGCAAATAATTACTCACATATATGCAAAATTTATATAATAATATTAGTTAACTTTACTTTACTAATATGTTACGCTATATTATTTTTACAGATTCAAGGACAAAGGATTGGCCAATGATGTCATCACCATTTCCAACATTATTAGTATGCCTCACATATGTTTATATAGTCAAGGTAATTGAAACACTGACAATGAAATGCCAACAATTCTAAGGATAAGTGATTAAGAATCACTTCATATTAAATAGTTGTAATAATGAATTGGTTTTTGGGTGTTAATAAGAAACTCCAAAAGCAAATCGAATCAATCTATTTCCTAACAAAACGAAAATGTTTATTAAATATGTATATATCTCATTAATACCTTATATAAATCAAACTAAATTTATTAATATTTAATAAGATAGCTTTAAAAATAGAAATTTTAATTAAGTGTAAATATATTTAAGTCATTATATCAGAAATCTCAAATATTTAAACAGTATAATTATGCACTAGTAAGTGTATTTAAAAATAAATTGTTAGTTGTTAGTTTAGTATAATTTATTAGTTACTAAATGGTGTTCATTTGCATATATTCTAAAGTACTGAAATTTCAAAAATTAGGAAATTTAGTATGATTGTGGATGCATTGAATAAACTTAACCACGTGAATATAAATTCTATATTTTGTCAATAATATATATAAATATTACTTAGAATTATAGACCTATAGAAAAATGCATTTTAAAAACATGGAAATGAAGAAACACTTCATCTTTTACGCAAACATTGCGTTTCATAAGTTTTCTCAGTACGCAAAAAAAATGCCAATAATTTAAGTTTAATCTGTTGACGCAGTTAAATTAGTGTCATATCCGCTATGAATAGCGAATTTAAAACTATACATATAAAGTTAGATGATATGTTATTCTTTATCAGGTATATATCAATTATTGATCAATTTGTTTATAGTGAATTTTTTCATGTAGTCGTCATTTTCCTAAAGCCAAACCTATGTTTTAATATTAACTCGTAAAAAAGTATTAGAATAATTTTAGGAAGGCACATATTAATGTTTTGCTTTTATCAAATCATATTTGGGAAAACTAATATTCCATTTATGCCCGCGAAATAGGATTAACATACTTGGATCAAATGAACCTTTGAATTACGTGTATAATGCATTCATGATTCTACAGAAAATATCAATTTTGATATTTAAATAAACTAAGAAACTTAGTTTAATATTATCAATAATACTAAAACTTACAGGAAAAAAAATTATTTATTAAAAACAATTATTTGATATTTTACCAATTTTATATAACAAAATTATTATATCAAGTTGACGCATTCGGACTTTGGGCCTGTTACTTAATCTTTAAACGCAATCGTAAAACTTCAGTGGAAATTTGGCTACTAAGCTGTCTTGTCCGCTACACCAAAAATTCGGAATCTTCTGGGTAGCACTCAATACTAACCAGTTCATTCTATCTGTTAAACTAGTGAAAGCTATTAGGAATTAGCACATTGTACCATGGCAGTTTGATTAAAATGTGTTAGATATAGGGTTTTCGTTTGTACGCATATCACAAAAGAACAACCGTTTACTTTAAAAATAATATCTTAAACAACAAACATTGCTGGCTTATTAAGTTCAATGATTTCGTTAATTATTTCGTGTCTTATTGTTCGTAACGAATACGTAATTTTTACTATTTATTATGAAATAAGGGCATGAAAAATTTTATTTTATTCACAATCATGTAAAAAAAATATTCTCACCAATAATCACAAAGATTTGTTATTTATTTTTGAAATTTCAACTTTAAATTTTATTACATATTACAATCCTAACTGAATCTCCATTTTGTCCAGAGTTGCCATCGCAAGTAATGCTTATTCTATTTGTTCTTTTGTGACATGCTTACAAAAGAAAAAGCCTAGTGTTGTTGTTTCATGTTATTTTTAAAATAAGCAGTTGTTTTTTTGTGATATGTTTACAAAAGAAAAGGCCTATTATCAGGATAAATGCATTTAAATTATTAATTTATCTATAGGATTCTATAGGATTTTTATCCTAAAAACTTCAAATTTCAAATTGTAGTTAACTAATTTCTTGAACTGGAATTTATAGATCAATTAATAATATTTTTAACAAAAGTGTATTTGGGAAAGGGCCTCTTGTCTAAGCACTAAAGATGTTAAATAAGTTGCAGACTTAGTATCTGAACAAAAATAGAATGCGAATTAAGAATACTTCTTGAAATTCAATTGGGGTACTATATTGGCATTAGGGCTTTTCCGTAAAATCTTGTGAGTTTTCTGACTAGTGAGATAAACTATTCTCTGTATCTACTGCCTAAAATATAGTAAATAAAGCAGATTACATACTAAAAGTAATTATTTTCTTAAAATTTTTTTAATTTAATTAAGTTTCTATTTATTAATAAAATAATTTTACTAAGTAAACTTTAATTTTTTTATATTTTTAAATAAAAATATCTCACATAAAAAATCTTATTTAATATTTGTTAATTCGAACATTAAAAATCGCAACAGAACATATTTTTATGCTCATATCATGATATATTCTATGGCATCTCTACTTAATTACAATTTTGGTAATTATCAGCCTTGATCCATATCAAAACAACACATCCTAAATTACATAATCTATACACGAATATTTAAAACCACATATTATATTAAATTATTATATATACCAAGTAATAAGAGTTGCTATAATACTGTCTTTTTCTTAGCATAACGTACCAATAGTTTTGTTTTTTTAACCTAAACTATTATATTAAATTTAATTCTCTAATTTGAAGTGTTAAATTACGAATTTAAAGTGTACATTAGAAATTAAAGAAACTAATTAATTGCTTCAGTGTTTCATTGGTATTCGATATATTGTACAATTTTGTTATAGAGCATATGATCGTTAAACAATAATACATTAGTTACCCAGATGATGAAGATCATGATAATTGGATGTGCACGCTCTTCCATTACAACACTGTAGCTTTAACGTATTTTTGACTATTTTTAACTGTCAAATAAAATATTACTTTGATATATAGAAATATTTAGTTCATACACTATATACATATACAATATAAAGAGGTTTTTCGAACAGTAGTGAACTACAATCGAAATTCATTTTATATTATTTTAATTAATTGAATTTATGACTGACCATACAGATGTTTGGAGTATTGCCAAATACCCATCATCGGTAGTCTTGGAAATAATTATTGTATTTAATTATTCATAAATAATTTTTTTTGAGACTGCAAGTACCAGGAATCGAACTCATGTCCTGCCAAATTTGAAACTCAGAGTTAGCGCTCCTTAACCAACTGACCCAAAGCCTTATTTGAGTTTTAAAGGCTTTTTTGTTGTGACTACAATAAATGGCATTAAATGTCAAAAGTCAATTTACATAATTCTTTTAAATATACCGCTAAATAAATGCAGTGCATGAAATCCTTAAGAAAATTTGATTTAGCTCAAATTAACTAAACTTTTATACTTCTTTAGGCTCCGTGCGATTTAAACTAAATTGCAGCAAAAATTAACTAAATTCTTCTGATTGCGATTTAAACTAAATTGCAGCAAAAATTAACTAAATTCTTCTGATAAGGCAATGGAAAGTCAAACTCTTTTGTTCAAAGACCAAATTCAAACAAATTTGCGTCTTAACTATTTAATATTTTCGTAAGCTGTTTAGTAATAAATTAGATAATGCTTATGAAACACAACATTCATCATAAAAAAATTAATTATGTTTAGTTCGAACTTTTAACAGTATGGCACTATGACCTTTTGTATATATTTTCTTAATTGTATGAGTCTTTATCATGCTTATGTAAATATTTGTTTCTTATAGTTTCACCAGTTTCATTTAATAATGTAAGCATATATTTGATAATATTAAACATAAAAATACTATAGGTGATTCTAAAAAGCTGATCGTCTATTTTATTTAAAGTAAATATTATTTTATTCTAAATTATTGACATTTTGCGTGCACCTTATGCAATTTAGTACACACCATTCAATTCGCACACTTATATGCACTATTTGACTAAATAAATGTGGTACCAAAAAATTCATTAAGTTTAGTCAATTTGATTCAACGCACACACCGCTATATTAGGCTTCCTTTATTCATTTATTATTTTCTTTTAGTAATGTTTATTTAATATTTAATTAAAGAAATTAATTTTTTTTATAATTATTTTTATTACTCATAACAAATTTGTAAAATTATAAATTGTTTATGTTGTCTGCAATTTCTATTTTGTTAAATATTTTGATAAGGCAACTTTATGATGAATCTTATCTGAAATGCCAAATTGATTAGTGCTGACACATGACAATTTTAGTTCGTAATAAAACTAATATATAATAAAAAATTATTTACGATAAAGAAAAAATTAATTAAAAAATTGTAAGAGAACCCAAAAAAACGTGTTTTCTATATATGTCTACTAAAAATGTATTATATATTAAAACGAACATATCATTTTAAATTTGCTACTAACCTGCATTACCGCACAAATAGGTTTTTATATTTTTTGATAAAAGCTTAAATGAATATCCATATAATTTTTAACACCTGCAAGTACTTCAAAGAGGTTTGACTTAATTCCCTGATTTAGTGGTTTAAAGCAGATATGGTTTATGGGTAATTTTTTTATAAATTTGATTAGTACTTTAGATAAGCCGTAGAAAATACTTGTAAAACATAATTTATATACAGTTAGCTAGATTTTAGTCATATATATATTATATATAATGTTATATATTTAAAAACTCTATAAATATTTGATACTGATTAATATATTACCTAACATCCATAATTGAAGGAAAATTTTTTAAGTATTTTATTTGAATTATCATATGTACACACACATATATATATTTAATTAACTTTGTTTGTATTATTTTTATTCATAGGTGCTTGGACCACGATTAATGGAAAATCGTAAACCATTCCGATTACAAAACACATTGGTAGTATATAATGCAATACAGGTGATATTCAGCGCATGGCTATTTTATGAGGTGTGTATACTTTCTAATTATGAAATTTCAATCTAAACTCAAATTTCAGCTCATACTTTGCTAATAGCGGATACTCTACATACTAAAAGTTCTTCAAATTGTTGAAATTATTGTGTTTTTTAGTTTGTACCAATAACGATTGATAATAAATTTTTCCCTTTGGCTTCTTAAAATTTAAAAAAAAAAATGAGAAAACATAAATAATTTTTAAAAACAAAAAATGTAATTTTTCAGTCGTTCTTTGTTGTACATCATATTTTATTTATCATTATAAACACTTTTAACATATTTGTTTAAATTTAATTCCTCTCAGCTACAGCTGCTTAAACTATCTATTTCTAATGTGTTCATCCTGCGTTAATATTTGTTAATCGCTGTTATTTTATCAACTGTCATCATTTCCAATATAATTTGTATTCTTTTTTTAATTTTGTATTATTTTATTTTATTATAAATTTACACTTATATTATTATATTATTTGTTTTTTATTATTATATATTTTTTAAAACACAACTATTAAATATTTGCCGCATTTTAGTGTTTAATGGGCGGCTGGTGGGGTCATTACAGTTTTCGTTGTCAGCCTGTGGATTATAGTGATAGTCCCGTCACAAAGAGAGTAAGTCCAAATAAGATATTAAAATACTTTTCCTAAGTATTTTAAGGATTGCCGGCAAAGACATGCGATTAAGAAAAGAAAGAAATTAAATTATTAAAACGATCAACTGTTCTTTCCTATGGGAATATATGCTGCGCACTCTCGGAACGAAATTATTGACTCCAAAAGGGCTCAAATAAAATAGAACATACTACATACAATCATCATAACGATATAGCTTTGCTTCTTCTCATTTCAAAGTTAAATACTACAAAATCTTAAATTGAAAATGAAATTTCAAATTTTTGTAGTAAAAATGTTTCTCATCATTTGCAATAAAAATTAAAAGTCACCTGTAATTTCGATTTAATGTCATAACTGTCAGGTGCAGATTGCATCATTTTTTTGTAAAAATTAAAATATTTTCATCATCATGATTTTATATATTAAGACCTAACAAATTTTTTTAACTGAAATAAGTGTAGTTCTAGCAAGCGTTCTAAAACTGAAGTGAAGTGAAGTGAGCAGCTTAACTATCCAATACAGATAAATACAAAACTCACTCACACTATTCCTTCGCTGCTTTCTTTTTATAATTATCTATTTTTAACATAAAAACATATTTTTAATATTAATATTTTTTTTTTTATTAAACATTAAATTAAATTTATTTAATAATCGTATCGCTATGCTTAATGCAATTCTCGTGGTCCATTTTATAAAGTATTGATACTTAGACATCTTCAGTTAATAGTTTTTC